ATGGGTCTAAAGACGAAGCACCCTGTCACTGCCTTGGTTGGGAAATTAGCAAATAATGTTCCTTTTCCTTGATAAATGGGTGACAGTTCTCTCTCACCAATCATTTTTTAACATTTTGATGCATGTCTATGATCCCGCTGGAGGAACAGAAAAGTTTACTGGCCCTCAATTTTCCGATGATGAATGGAACACTCTAAATGTGCGATTTCTGTATGAGGTATAGTTCATTTTAAGCAATTCTAGTAAATGGGTGTCACTGATTAGGACAAATAGTCTACTTGTGCAATAGCACAAATGGTATGTCTCATTCTTCTGGCCTCCTTTGAGACAGAAAAGAAAGGGGACAGCAATGACCCTGATAAACCTGGAATTGCTACTGTTTAAAAAAGAGCTATTATATAATATACATTATCCAACACACTATTGACTTGATGCTACTAAATCATGTCTGTATGTTTAGCATTGGCCTATTAATTAAAAATGTATGTCATGCTCAAAAACCTTCTTTATAGGAAAAGACACTTCACCAGAATCCTTTCCCCTTTGACTTATTGCTTTCAGAAAAATACATTTTACTCCAGGCCTAGAAAGCAGTTTTACACATTAACAGAGACTTTCTGGGTCTGACTCTTGAACACTAAACTTTGACTGACTTACAGAGACCCAGCTTGAAGAAAGGGCAAGAATATTTGTTCTATCTTGATTTTTATTTTTTTTTCAGCTTGCTAACAACTGATACTGACACAAGGTCTGATCAATAAATAACCAATACTGTAATAACAGTGACTGTAAGTTGCTTCAGGACAACAGCACTTAACAGGAAGGAAAAAAAAAAAAAAAGAAAAGAAATGCAATATATATGAATTAGAAATGCTGAGGATTTCATTAAAATGAATGTAACTGTGCTTTCGGTTTATTTTTTTTTAAGGCTTTCCAATAAAACCCTGGATCCATTCTATATATTTTTAACATTCCTCTCACAAAGTCACCAGATTTCATCCTTCAGAGCAATAATTGAATATGTACAAGAAATAATCAGGTGATTTAAATTTAACTAAGGCTTTCGAGTGGAGTTTAGCATAGTAAAAATAGTATGATTTGTGGGAGGCAATTAACAATCATTTGCTCTGTGGATACAAGTAATTTGTTTAAAGAGCACTGACCTATGAGACAGCCAGTTTGTGTTGGCTGTGATGGAAGGGAGCTATTGACTCTAAACAGTGTAACAGCGCCATTGACAGAACCGCCTTTGAATGCGCACAAAAGATCTCCCAAACATTGAGGAACACGAGATCTTCCTGAGAGGGACACGGGGCCAGCCCAGGAGAGCAGCCAAGGCCAGGGGACAGCGAGCCAAGCCCAAAGTCCTGGACAATGTGGCGAGTGCAGAGGTCCACCCCGCGCTGGTGCGGCGCCACAAGCGCTCCGCCAGGAGGGACCCCGGGCTCGTGAGCTCCGAGTCCAACGCCAGCCTTTGTGCAAGAGCATGGTGCTCGTGTTCACATCCACCAAACGCGCTGCAGGACCGGGAGTGGGCCTGTGGATCCCACATCCGTGTGTTCTGCTGGGGACATGGTGGTGGACGGACACCACGGCCGCCTGCAAGGGATCTGCTGCCTCCTGGCAATTTGGGACATTGCCTCAAAGCCAAAGAGGCTGTCAAAAGAGGGGCGTGCAACAAAAACCCCAGGGTGGAATCAGCCAGCATGAAAAGTTCCAAGGGCCACCAATCATTCTTTGAAACTATTTTGGTATGCTCTAGATCAGGCTATGCACCCTTTATTTGCTTGGGAAATGACACAAAACACAGAGAAAACAGGAAGGCTGTGGCACAAACACGCTGTAAACACAATCCTGCTGCTCAGCTGAGAGCAAACCAACAGAATCTGCAGAGCTTCAAATATGTGTGTAAAGGTGCAATTTTATCTGTAGCATAATTTCATTTCGAAGCATACAAATCACAATTTGCCATAATCGAATAAGGCTGCAGTGCTTATATTCTAATTAAAAAATAATCTCTGATATTTAATTTAGAAACCTGGAAGACTGTACCAGCAAAATTATGGTTACAACCTGCACCGACCACTCGATTTACCCACAGACAGCAAATTTTTCAGGTAGCGCTTTTAAAATTAGTATTAAACAAGCAAACACTGCACCGCTCGATATGTATTAAAACAAGTATTGTACTCAGTTATTAATTTGCACTATTCACTTTTAAATGCAGCAAATACCTCATTAATTTAATTTTAGGTGCCCACCAGTTTATATTGCATTTTACAGTCTAGAAGGCAATTTACTATTAACTGGCAATTACATACAGAATGATTGTTAATTCTGCTCCTAAGTGCTAGCTGCTTGAAAATTGTTATCTCTCTCTAATTTTTGACCTTCTTACAACAGGGGTGAGGTACACTGGGAATACAAAGGACTAGTAGAGAAGAGCCGGACATGTCATTTGTGACTCATTCTTTTAATTCACCGTGCTAATCAACTGAACTGCCACAATCTCCCAAGGTAATTGTATCTTTATAATAGTTGAAAGCAGCGGGCAAAAAGGCATGGATGGATGGGGAAAGGCCTTGCCTTTGCCTGCTGGGAGCCGGCGTGCTCCTGCTTCTGCGCCGGGCTAATGGGGGCTTTGGAGAAAAATCTGGAACTTTCGCATCTCCCTGCCCTGACGGTTTAATGTCTCAACTTCTGCACTCACAAAGGCTTTGTGCACCACACTACACTCTTGTTTCATTATTCCGCAGCCTTGTTGCCCTATGGTCTACCTCCTGCTGGGAAGGTTAAATGTTAGAGTGCCAAGCCAGGCTGCAAGCATGGTGGGACACTGATGGGAAACAGATGCCCTGGGGACCCGGCCCCTCCCTCCGCCAGGCTACAGCATTTTCATTTTCTGAAATACAGAGAGGCTTGGCTTCCCTCTCAATGGCAGCTGTAATTTCCAAAGACTATCTCAGCCACCCTATCACTCTGGGATAAAGCAAAGCAGAAGTTTCTCGGTCAGGCAGGCTCTGGCTTTCTCTCTTTATTTTCTTGTTGCTGGGATATTGGCTTTTGTTTCCTTCCAAAGGTGTTTTAAATATCTATTCCTGTTACAGTGTTGTTACTTACATAACTTTATTACAATTTTATTCCAGTGGGAAAAGCTCATGACATTCTCATGATCTTTTTGAACATCTTTACTTAGCGATAAAGACAAAAGACAACCCCAAGAAGGAAAAAACGAATGGTTTGTTCTTCCAGTTCCATACACACGTGCACTTGCAAATTAGAAAGAGCCTCAAAACAGCAAAATTAGCCAAATTTGCAAAATCTGCACCTCAGAAATCAGTTAAAGACATTACTCTGAAGCAAGTTAGAATTCCAGGCTCTAGCCAGACCGTCATCTGTTTCAAATCTGCGGCGCTTCCCTGCGCGCCGTGGAACTGCACCAGCTCCCAACAGCTCAAATATCTGGAACTTGGGCTGAGGCTTTTAATTCATTCATTTTTTATTTTGTTGGACACTTCTTTTAGCTTGTCATACTCACAGGACACTCATATATGTATATATATATACACACACACATATATATATATATATATATATATATATATAAAAAATATTGTTCATAAGAGTATTTCTAAGCCCACAGCACTAACAGCCCGACCTGTGCTCACCACCTTTGCAGAAAAACAACTCTGGCTTTTGGGATAGATCATCTGCTTCAAAAGAACCACAGTCACCACCATTCTATTTGGGATCTCTGGTGAAACCCAGTCCTAAAGATTAATAAATGTAAATATTCTCTCCTTCACCAGCCAGAAGTGAGGCACCCAGGTTTGGACGCCAGTGTTTTTGCTCAGGTTTTGATTTCTTTGGGAATAGAGAGAATATAGGAACCTCAGATGGTGCCATCACTTTAAAGCTCATTTCAACAACAGACCTTAGGCAGACACAAAAACATATCCAGGATGCATTAACGGTTTCAAAAGTCCTCCCTTAAAACTACCCAGGAACACACTTTTCCCATTAGATCTAAATTAATAGATAGAAACAGTTGCAGTCTAGTGGGAAAATATTCATCAAAATGCACATCATCTGCACATCATCTGCAATCTGCATTATCTACCCAATAAGCAGCGAGGACTCTCCCCGAATCCCTGCAGTCTGCCGAGTAAACAGTTAAAGGCTCTTTGTTTTCAAAAGAGAGATTGATTCATCAGATCAAATTTATTACCTAGAATCCTCGTCCAAAAGTACAGTAAATTAAATCGCTATTTCTCCCTTTTCCCTCCCCGCACCTCAGTTAAATTCATTGGTAAATGCCAAAAAAACTCTAATACACATTTCATATAAAAAGCCAGCAATACTTCATCCCAAAATAAGAATTTTCATATTAAAACCACTGCAAAACCACAAAGTTCCAAATTTTTCTTGTGCTGTTGTAAATTAAAATCAAATGTATTTTAAAAAATTGGCATAAATAAATCATTCCCAGGCTTGTGAGTTTGTATCCCAAGTTTTAGGACTGAGGGAATCTTTAGAGACAGATTGTGAATAGGGTTGGATAAAGTCATTTGGATCCAACAACAGCTCCTTGAACCGATGCCTAAAACTTCAACTGAACCTTTAGGGAAGTTCAAGAAGCTTGGATAGATGGCCTGAAAAATATTTTGCATCACTGAGCACTTCTTAACTCCTTTTTCTGGCTGGAGGAGAGTAGGAAATACCATTGTTAATCTATTTCTGGCCAATATGAAAACAGGAAGTAGCAGACATCTTGTGAGGGAGCTGGATCCCATGGGACACGGGGACATTTTTGAGACCCAAGAGGTTGGACGGGCACCAGAGCTCCTGGGTGCCCGTATGAACAGGTCTTTGGAGGTCCAGCTACCACCAGCTACATTTCCTGCAAGACACATCCTATTTTTAACAGCATTTTTCATTCCCGCGGATCCCTGAGAGATGGAATTGACACGCCAAAAGGAGCATGGAAACCACACACTTAC